GTGGAAATGAAATCTCTCGGTGAAGACGGTTCGCCGGTGGATGGGCCCCGAGGGATGCTGACATTGGAGCAGCATCCCGAAGGGGTCAGGGTCACGGGCACGATCACGGGATTAAATCCGGGCTTGCACGGATTCCATGTACACGAAAAAGGAGATTTGAGGAAAGGTTGCAATTCGGCTGGCCCGCATTTCAATCCGTACATGGTAATAATGCTTTGCAATTCTAAATTATGCACATCTAGGATTTTCATCCGTTTTTTCTTTTCTGCGGACGCTCTCTTTTACTTGTCCTCTTTTTCTAAGGCGTTCGGGAGTGTCCACAGAGATTTTCTAAAGGCGTCTGGAATAATTATGAGCGGTAATTATTCAGACCACCTTTGGAAAATTTTTTCGAATATCCCTGGATATTATTATAAAAAGATGATGTCTGCCGTTTGGGAAAAAAAAAAGAGGATGGATAGGGCAACCTATTCTCATCACAATTAGTTTATGATAAATTAATGAGCATTCCTCCATAAGTATAGAGTTTTATTGGGGGAGCGGGGGGAGGGGGGATCAAATTAGAACGCTAGAGGGAGAGGAGTATAGTAGTATAGTCAAGTAGTATAGACTAGTGGACTTGTTTTGCTTTATATTATTGTTTTTAATTAACTACTAAATTTTTTTTTTAAATTACAAAATCATGTATACGTTCACGCTTTTCTCTTTTGCTGCATAAAAGTATTACATTGGAACAAAAGTTCGTAGCAATACGAATTTCAAGCAGCCGTAACTTCGTTAAAAATGAATGAAATGATTTAAATTAAAAAAAAAGTTTAACATTTTATTTCTGAAAGGTTACTATGTCTTATTTTGAGTTTCTGTGAGTTTAGTAATTTTTACATAAGAAAACTACGAATTGGACAAAATAGAAAATTGTCTTGTCATTTCCGTTACATGTAACGGAAACAAATTCAACAAGCAGATACATTAAAAATATTTAAGTTGTTAATGAAAATGAAGTTATAAGTAATATAAATTTAACATTTACTTACATTTAAATTCCAAATCTACATAAAATTTAATAAAAAATGTACCACACTTTGTAAAATTTTATGAAAAGTACACTAAATTTCATGTACATATATACTTTTCAATTGCAGATACATTAAATTTAATTTAGTGTCGTAAAATTAAATTAAATTTATGTAACTTAAAAGTACAATAAATTTCATGACATTTTTAACAGTGTAATGTGACATGATACAAATGAAGGAACACTACGAACTTTTTCTATATTCAATATAATACAATATACATTTTATGTTACATATTATTCTTGCGTCTCTCTCATATTAGTTGTTCTATAAAAATTATAAATTTATAAATATCACAGAGATTCGCATTAATAAAGCAGATGATAAAATTATGCGAGACTTCTATCGTAGGATCATAAAAAATATATTCAAACTCTTTTTCCAATTATCACTTTTCGCGAAAATCTAAGTTAACTGGACAGCACTTGCATGTAGAAATGAACGTTTTATGTAGCGAGTGATTGATTTTTCTAAATCTCTGAGATTTAAAAGTCGAGGAAGTTAAATTTTCAGATTAATTCCAGGAGAAACTGGATTACCGTTGTTGCATCGAACTCTCCGAATGTAAATGCGACGCGATTAGCACAAATTGATAGCCTCACGCTTCGCGGATTGAGCCGTCGCGATTCCCTCCGCGCGATAATACGCTCCCTCTCTCCATTTTACGTTACGGTAAACGAAGAGTGATTGCGTTTCAGGTGAATCACGGAGCACCGAGTGATCCGTTACGTCACGTCGGCGATCTCGGCAATATTGAGGTCGGAGAGGACGGAGTGGCTCGTATCGACGGCATGGATCACTACTTGAGCCTAGTGGGCGTCCGGGGTGCGATCGGTAGAGCTTTGGTGATCCACGCGAAACCAGACGACCTCGGCCGCGGCGGAACCGAAGAGAGTCTGAAGACCGGATCGTCAGGCGAGCGCGTTGCCTGCGGCGTTATCGGGTTCTTGTAAAAAGATTTCGATGAACAGCGAATTCGGCTATTGCATGCACTAAATACGCACTGAAAACTGCCGTATTTAATTCATTTAAAAAGATACTGCGTAGTATGCAAGATCTTTGGTATACACAAGCAAATTTTGGTGAAGGAACCGTATAATTCCTTGCTAAGGACAAAATATTTGTTCTATCATAATTCAACCAGAATATTGTTATATATTTCTTTATAATTTTGTACATTTTTACTCTATTTTAAATATTGATACTATTACATACTGTTTATTCATTGGTTATGAAAATAGCATTAAAATTAATTAAGCTGATTTTTTAAACTGGATATATATATACGTAAAATAAAATATGATTATCATGTTATTCACATAATATAATTGTTATAATATAATTAATTTTATTCAGTTGAAGTAATTATATGTGTCCCGGAGAGATATATACATACATCTCTCTGTCCTGTATATCTCTCTCGATAGACGTTATAGATAAATTTGTGTACACAACCTGCAGACTGTGCGCACTAGTGCATCCACCCAAATCCGCTAAAAGAGATGTTGCATATCGCAACTTCATTCACTAATTTAATTGCGCCCATTTGTACCGATCAATAAATCACAAATGTATAAATAAAACACTTCTTAAATGCATTTTACACACACCTTTATGTAATCTCTCTAGATTACAAAAATAAGATGAATAATTTTAATAAGAAAGATTGATGACAGGCTAAGCCAATTTTCTTTTCGTTTTAGTTCATGCATCTAATAAACACTAAAATAATAGTAAAATAAAATATATTTATTGTGATAATTATACATTAAATAACAACAATAGTCATGTTGATATAATAGTATTTTATACAAGTATATATGAAAAGACTTTTCTAGAAACATTTTCGATAAATTACGATCGAATGTTTTTCGTCGCAAAAATTTCCACGAAATGGTCTACAAAAATGAAGCTATTTTTTTACATCAATACAATCAACGGTCAATCAGAAATTTAACGAAATTTTAATGCGAAGAATTCATTCAACTCGGAAATTGGACCGAGTTTGTCGTAACAAGATTTTATTGTAATAGCTTTCGCCGTTGATACATTTTTCGGTGAAGTAAATACAACAATATGCAACATATAGCCAGACAAATATACAATCGCATATGAAAAACGCAATCAATGATTCTCGATAAGGAATCTAAACTGCAAAGTTTCCGGATCTTTCAAGTATCGTATGCAGTTTATTTCTACACGCGTATATAATATTATTACAATTAAGACTTAGACGTCCGTATAAGAGAAAGGGAGAAAAAAGTAAAATCACAAGAACGAACGTCGAATATTCTATGGACGAAAATCGTTCGCTTCTTCTGAGAGTTCGCACGTACAAGAGTCCCGAGTGGCTGAGGTACCAAGAACTCTGGACTCCACACAGGGCAGAAGTTCATCGAAACTGCGAAGTGGCGAATCTGTTAGCTCATCGACGTCCTCGTCGACGATGTTCCCGAATGCAGCAGGTATCCAAGGGACTTCGACGAAGCCTCGCGCATCTTTTCCACCGTCGACGGTCCCACGGGCTCGCCCATCTCTTCAAGAGCTTGCAGCACCTTAGTCACTACTTCCGGCGGCGAGGTCCTCCTCGCTCCCGGCGCGTCCGGTCGATGCTGGAGATCGTCCTGGCGCGGTTGCCTTGGCAGCGCGAACGTTTGCGGCTGAAAATGCACTGCAAGGACGTTGAACCGTCCGTTTGAGCACTTCATGTCTCGTCGTAAAGCTACCCCCGGATCCGCAATATCGATCGTTTCCGCCCTAATTTACGCCGCCAAGAACCGAGAGCGAACCAAGATAATAAAATTCAACGATGATTTTTATTATTGCCAAGATTAATCCCGCCCGCGATTTCTCGTTCTCTATTACGATACCAGTAATTCACAAACCGCGATATGTCGGCAGTATATCTTCAACTTAATTTATCTTTTGAGATATACCATAAGATTGCTACAATTATTGCTATCTTATTTTTTTTCAATTGATCAATTTTTTTGATCAATTTTATAGCGAATTCTGTATTTATACTTAGTGCGCACTGGTGCATATTAAAATCATTGATTTAATCAGAGTATAAAAGTAAAATGCAAATATTTTAAATTATGAAAATACATACTTTACCTAATAGTACAATAAAGTTTAGTAAGACTTTCGGTTTAACTTATGGTTTAACTGGTTTTTTTGTATTTATATTAAACACACATTTTTCAATCTGTATACGATGACTTCGATGTGCACCAGTGCGTACTGAGAACATCCAATCGAGAATTTGCTGTTAGTGTGATGCAAAATTCGATTCATATTATATAATATTTTAGAATATAATAAGATTAGATTAATAGGTCAAATATTTTAAATATATCTAATAAAATTAGAATTGATCAATCAGACACTTTATTATATTTTACTCTTCTATTAGCGTCAAAATCTGCAATACGGTTATTAATGTTAGATCTGTATGACCCATTTAATTTGTGTTAAATTATAAAAGCTAATTAATTTTAAGAAACCAAAATGACACAACTCTCGTATTGAGAAGAATGAATGTTAAGTATTTTAATAAAAATAATCCAAATTTGTAAATCTATAAGAAAAATTGAATTTCATATTTCTAATGAACAAATTTATATAAGGTCTCTTTTCTGTGGTTGAATTAGTAGGTATACACTTTTGAAACTTAAAGTAAAACAAGTATTATATATTTGATATTTATTCAAAGCGAGAAAAAAGTTTTAATGCAGAATCTAGTGCAAGAACGAAAAATAGATCTATAATTGAATGGGTCTACTGTAATTGACCCTCCGAAAGGTTAAAAATATTTCAATAATACTATAATTTAAACTTTTAAATTTTTTTCTGTTTGGCTCAAATTCATATATAGCAGCATATTGACTCATCTCAATAGATTCTGTTGTCTTGTAGAAATTCAATAGTAATATTTTTTACGTATATACATTTAGAAGCAAATTTATATAAACAATTTGTATGAATCACGTCAATATAAATTGTATAAATCGCATTAAAAAATTATATGAAAATTTAATGATCACTTTGCGGTCTAATTTTTACTTATACGACAATATAAGAGCTCTTCTCACTGATTAAACTGAATATTTTTAAATAAATGCATTTCTCGTAACAACGGAGATGATTCTCCGCGGCAACAGATGCAATTATCGCTACATTACTAGGAACATCCAAGACGTCGTAATCCGAAATGTCATCTAAATCATCCGCATCGAAGTTACTGCGGCCGCATCTAATGACAAATTGTAAGCAGTTGATGATCAGCCTTTTTGATGACCTCCACATAATCATGTGCGAACATTTTTGGACGGGATCGTCGCGAGTAACGACGTGCGAATTACATTGTCACGAGTCGTGGGGTTTCGTGTAACGTAAATGTTGACAGAAGTGGTTAGACGAATATACGAGTGTACGTTGAAGTTCGTTAACGCGGACATAACAAAAGCGAACTTGATTTGCAAATTTGATACGCAAAATGACATTTAAATCTAAAAACTAATGAAAACTGCTTTTAACCATACTGTTTTATTCAGAAAGTCCTCGACATATTTAAATTACAGAGAAAGTCTTATATCATTCTAGTTATATCGAATAGTAATTTTATGTAGATATATTGATCTAAATCTATTATGTTATATGTACTCTTTGAGTTTTACAATGGTATCGCATGGGTAGTGGGCGCACACACGCTCTGGCGCAAATGAAATAAATGTAATTTGTACTAGCATGATATCCTTGTAATTATAAATTGTAACTCCTTTTAGAAAAATATGTAATACAAATTTAAATTAATATTAGATTATTCAAATTAATAGAATTAACAAATAAGGAGTTTACATTACGTTGAATGAATTATATTACAATGAAAATTATGGCTAATTATATAGCACGCATAGATGTAATTATAATGTCGAAAATCAATTTTACAAATTTTCTATATTTGTTTGCAAGCATATCGAGATAATAAAATTGAATACAAGATTAAAATATTGAAATACTTGTATGCTCTACATTTAAATCTGTTAGAAATGGATGTCCACGTCATCTTGAAATTTATTATCAGGGCTATATCAAGAAAACAGCTTTGCATAGATTAATTTTTATAAAATTAGCAGAATGATTCTTTTCACAAAGATAGAAAAATGTGTATGTTAAAAATATATGTAAAGAATATGTTGAATGTCACTATCGCCTGCCTCTCCCTCTACCTCGTCCACCCCTGCCACCTCTACCGCCCCTGGCGCCGCGTCCTCTACCACGGGCAGCACCTATAAACAAATAGTATAATTAATATAAAGAAAACTTTATTATATAATTGTAATGATTGCAAAGAAGTATAAAAAAGAAAATATCTCTTATCCAGTTAAAGTTAATAGTATAAATATAGAATTAATACTTGTTGAATTAACCCTTTCAGCACTGAATACTTTTAACAAATGGATTGTGAAATATTTTACTATCTGTAGCTTGCTTCAACATTAGATATTTCTATTTATTATTTAAACTAGACACATAAATATATGCCTAGACACATAAACATACCTCTCGCAGCTTCCTTCTTCTTAGCTTTAGCCTTTGGTGTATCATCAATTAGTAATGTTTCTAATGGCAATGAATCAGGCAAAATGTAGTATCTTATATTGTTTCCTCGTAAACTAAGGGTTTCCAGTTGTATTGGTTCACGATTCTTTATTGTCATTTTTACTGTTTTTAGATGTGTGTTCATGGCGACATCAACACCTACAGCAAAATAACTTATCAATAATAAATGACATTAGATCACATATAAATACCAGTGCTGGAATTTAGTTGCACATTTTATTCAATTTTTAGCTTAATTTCTCTCTTATTTCACCAATCTGCGCAGTCTAATGCCGATGAGCAGAAACCAAGCTAAAAATCAACAGAAATATATAACTAAATCCCTTTTCTGAAATATAATTAATAACAACTTCGATTGGATGCACTAATGCGCACTGACATATATTAAAGCTGTTATATATTGATTTAATTTGAATGTAAAAGTGAAATGCAATTATTTTAAATTAGAAAATATATACTTTATCTAAAAGTACAATAAAATGTATTCATAATTTCATGGTTTTTGTATTCATATTAAACACACATCTTTATATTTAATTTGTATATAATGACTTTAGTACACCAATGCATCCACTCACATTTACTATAAGAAATGAAAAGGTTTAAAATAATTTATAATTAATAATAATACACACAGGGAATGTAAATAATTAGTTACTTGTTACACCGTTCCTTATTTTTACTTCATTATAATAACAATGACAGTGACATTATTTTTTTATTATTCCTACTGAAAAGAATCATATCACAAAGTCACCATAACAAATCATCATAACAAAATCATATAATTAAGATAAGTAAATCACATAATGGATGGTTCCAAATCAGTACATGATTTTTTAAAATTATAATTTGAAAAACGACATATTAAAAATAATTTCATCCATCATGTGATTTTATAGTTATTAAATTTTAAAGAATTAAATGATGGAAATAGAAAAAAAGGACATATGTGATTTTCCAAATTATCTTATTTAAAAAATTACATACTAATTTGGAACAATCCATTACATAATTTACTTGTCTTAATTACATGATTTTATAATATAATTGTGTAACATGGTTTTTTTTCAGTAGGACTATAGAATGGTAACATAGGACTTGAAAGGTCATTTGTAACTTCTGAAAAAGTTAGCTGAAAAAGTCTCTCATTATTGAAAAAGTTAACTCAGCATTTGTAACTCCTAACTTTTTATAAGTCGTAATTTGTAACGAGGTAACATTACTTATTACTTATTACAAATTACTTTTTTCAATACATAAACGCATAATGGTGCGAGTTAAATAAAGTAACTTTTCCAAGACTTTAGCATATTCTCAGTGTTTAATTACGTATCATTACAGTCATAAAAATGCAACGTCATTATTAAAGTTATTATAATAAGTAACAGAATAATAACTCTTTTATTCTCTGATAATACATTTTCACAAAAATATATTCTTATTCATCTATACTCAAGAAAATCTTCAAATTTTTAATTACGAATAAATCTGTCATATTGCAAATAATTTTATACATCAACACGGATTTCTAACCTGACGCTACTTGACGCCAAGTCACACAACAAAACATCTCTTTAACGTACCTGTAATTGTGCCGGTGACTTGAGTGCCATTTTTTAATTCTATCGTCACAGTCTCGTGACTGAGTTTCATCAAAAATCTGCAAAAGCAACATTAATCTTTGAAGAAATATCAGTGTTTTCGCGCTAAAATGTTTAAAGTATAGGTTAGGTTGCACGCATCATTTGCAGTTCTCACAGAAATCATATACATACATAATTCATTACATGCACATAAAATTTTTTTTGTTATGTTTCTTTTTATTATATAATTTCTCACGTATTTTACGTACCTTACTAGCTTCATAATGCGGCTAGATCAACTACTTCACAAGCAAAATGATTTATCAACACCGCCGGCGGATTATTGTAGAATATCAGACAGAAATCTGAGAGAGGACATGCCGGCCCAAAACCTGTAATCGCAAAATGTTGTTGCGCACTACTGACCCCTGACAAAATGGATGCAAACTACATAGCTCTGAGGGTAATATGTCCACTTTTCAACTCCAGATGATAAATCGATTCGCTTGGTTCATATATTCGTGCTACTGTAACGTCGTCCGATTTTCCCTTTATATTTTACCTTGTTAATGGTTTTAGGAACGCCGGCTTGAACCCGCGCATTATTTTTAATCTCTATAACTACTTTTATGACTATTTTATTATTGATATTTTATCATTATTGTATTATTTTAATATAAGTACATAATTGCGAATATGCCCAACGACATGTAAATATTTTATTAGTTTTAAATTACTAAGTCTCTTTCATTATATTTTAATTTTGTTACTTACCTTTTATAATTATTATTCCATTATTCTCATTTTCATATTGTTAAATATAAAATATAATTAATATTAAGAAAATCCATGTATCACACTGTGCGAACATCAAGTACCATTACGCCTCAAGAGGAGCTACCGATCGATGCTGGAAGTAAACAGAGCCGCATACCATGATTATCTATCCAAAATATTGAGTCTAACGAAAGGACCGAGGCGTACAAAGAATACGGCTGATGACGACCTGGCAGTTGCTAACTGACTCCCGTGCTGATCGTACGCTTTTATTTTACTGTGTAATCTAAATTTCATTCTCGTATATTCACCGTGTATTTCTCAAGTTTCCCTGCGTTTCGTCTTTTAACAATATATTCACTGCGTTCACTGAGTTCACTGCGTTCACTGACACTGAATCCTCAGTGTTATATGGTTTCTTCATTTTTTTTTTTTGCAGAATACTTAATCCCATTTGACTTAAACCGTCAGATGTTGAATCGGATTCATCTGATTTTGTGCCAGCAATTAATGTGGGTATTCTAATTTATTTTTTTTTTTATTATTATTTTTGTTTTATCCATCTCGATATCCACTTCAATTTTTGAAGGAGATAATTTAGCTCTCTGTAGTTCTTAGTTGGGTTTCGTCCCCTTTCTTGGTAGTTCTTTCGTGTCTCGCGATAGTTCCAGTGAAAACCATTCATCTCAACCAGTTACCGCGCTCCGGGCGTCCCCCGGTAAAGTCCGTGCAGCAGATTGAACGGAAAACAAAGTGGAGCACTGTAAGTTCTAAATCAGGACGTTACACTACATTCACAAATTGTATATCAGAAATATTCATATCTGCAATCTTCCATGCGCGTAATGTTTATTTCGCTTAAAAGTATTAAGGTTATATAATATTTTTACAAATATGTTAATATTTATATTTTAAATAAGCTATATACATATCAATTAAGTTGTATTTCAAGCATTTATTGTTATTAAACACATTTTTATAGTTTATTTACTTTATTTGTTATTTACTATTTTCTTACAATACTAAAATTTGAAAAGCATATAATGATAAAATTAATCTAAACTTTTTTTATATAAGTACTTTGAGTATTTAAAATGCAATTATAAGTTTCATTGCGACGCAAAAATTAGGTGTTTAATAAAATAAGAAAACAATATATTCTGTTAACAATAACATAAATTAAAAGAAGAGCTAATGAGCCAAGCTGGTTAATTATATGTATGCTTGTATTATAAATTTTTATACACAAAAATTTAAACAATGTCAATATAACAAAATAATGCAATTTCTGCATCTGAAACGTTGCTTTATCGAGTGATATAAATGCCAATTAAAAAAAAAATAGAATATATATGCATTTGAGCTAAAAATATAATAATTATATAAAATATAATTATTTTTCTTCTATAACTGTTGTGCAATGATTATAATGAAAGTACAGTCATATTTTTAACTAAAATTTATATACAATATATTCT